AATCTTGTGATTAGCTATTGTGAAAGGTATTGTTTCTCTTAGTTCTGGCTCTGTATTCTTTTTGTCACGGTAGAGAAAGCCAACTGATTTTTTGTTACTTCAGTAAGTGTTGGTGTGTGTATGTTACTTTAGTGTTGTAGACTTTGGAGATCTGTACCGAACAGTGGGATATCTGGATCAAATGGTATTTCTATTCCCAACTTTGTAGGGAAGTGTCACACTGCCTTTCATAGTGGTTTGCATTCTCCCTGGCGGTTTTTGAGAGTTCTAATCTCCCTACACCTTTGTCACCATTTGTGTTTGCTGTTGTACTGAGCTTTGTTATTTTTGCTGGATTGAGATGCTATCTCATTGTGGTTTTGATTGGCAATAACGAATTCTGCTGCCAATTCAAAGGCATGCAGTTGAAATTACTGGTTGATCCATGGGAGAAAAATGGGCAGTCTCCTACCATGCATTTTACAGCTGCTGAAAACCCATTGGAGGCTAAACTACAAGTCAGTTTTGACATGACAGCACACAAGAGCAATAGCTAATGAGGGAGTTATAGTGGCATAGGACAGGGGAGTTGTTCTTCTAACCCAAAACAGTATCTCTGGTGGTTTGAATCCACCCAGTGGCTCCACCAGAGCAAGATGGTCATTCTCCTGTGGAATTGGCATCCTTCCTAAAACCTGCTGGAGGCTCTGTGGGGAGGGTACGTCTGACTCATTGGCATTTCTTTGTCTAGTTCTTGACTGTCATCTTTGGTGAAGTGTGTCTATGTATGCCTTTGTGATGAACCCCTAGTCAGGTCTGTCAGCACCTAATATTTTTCTGTCACTTCTCTTTTGGAGAAGCACATAAGGATTTCATTTTTGGGAAGTCCCAGTCAGTTATATGGTTTATCCTCTGCTGATGGTGCATTTTTGGTTATATTTGATGGTTGGTTTGTGCTATAGATGGGAGCTTCTGTTATTCCCTAGCATCTTTTAAGGTCTCTGTTTCTTGTAGAAGTGTTTTGTAATTTTCTTTGTTGTAGGTCTTGTGTCTCTGGTTCTTGTTGTTGCTTTGTGCTGTCTAGTTGCCTGCATCTCATAGCGAGCCTGTGTACAAGGTCCCTAAACCCTGCTCTATGCTTTGCCAACCTTATTGTCTCTGACACACATACCCCTGTTACCCCAGTCACTGAATCAGTCCATCTCATTGAGGATCTTCCTTTCCTCTGCTATCCCTCCACTCTCCCAAGCATGATGTCCTTCTCCAAGGACCGATCTCACCTTGCAACATGTCCAAAGTATGACAAACGAAGCTTCAGAATCCTTGCCTCCAAGGAGCAGCCTGGTCTCCCTTGCTAGGACGAATCTATTTGTTCTCCTAGCAGTTCATGGTATATTCAATACTCTTCTCCAGCACAGCAGCTCAAAGGCATCGATTCTCCTATCATCCCTAGTCGTCCAGCTTTCTGATGTAATTGCAAAGACTATGGCTTGGATCAGGTGCACCTTAGTCTTCAGACTGACATAGTTGCTCCTCAGTATCCTCTAGAGGTCTCTGACAGCAGACTTTCCCAGTGCAATAAGTCTTTTAATTTTCTGACTGTTGGTACCAAGAGTATTGATTGTGAAGCCAAGCAAATGAAAGCTGTTAACAATCTCAATCTCTTCACTCTGGATAGATCACTCAGAATACAGTTCCGGATCATTTGCAGTTTGATGACTTGGTCATTGTTGAGGAGTGGGAAATCCACCCTGGATGGCATGTCTGTGTAGAACGTTCCGACTGTCCAGCTTTTCAGCCCTTTGCCAGAACAGCACTGTGACTATTCCCTGTACCCCTCATCTACTTGAGAACAGTCTCACATCATTCTTTATCTGGCACCAAGAGGGCAGCTGTACTCCACATTCAGTGACTCCTGCCCTGCAGGGCATTGAGTCTGAGAAGGGGGAGTGCCTACTGCACGCTGGGCCCAAGACTGATGATAGCACCATCTAGGACAGGGTGCCTGCCCTTTAGTCTGCGCCTGAGCAGCACTTGCTCATATGAAAATAGGCTGGCTTCCCAGAGGTGCGTGGTTCGAATCCACCAGATGCTCTACTGAAAAAGGAGGGACAATCTCCTCCTGTACCAGCCAGATCTGATTTGATGGTACACACACAGACCAAAAAAAAAGAGAGACTGGCTTACACAGCTTAGTGTCAGGCCCATCTCCCACCCCCGTCCCACACCCCGTGGAGGTGCACAAGCACTCCCCCTGCTGGGCTGTCTGGTGGTGCACATGCTTGGCTGCAGTCTGTGGCTTTTTCCTGGGCCTGAGCCTGAGGCAGATCTAGTACAGTGGACACTTGTTCTTCCCACTGTTCTTTCACATTGTAAGCTGGCCAACTTGGCTTGGGTGTCCTGTCCTCACCTAGCATAGCTGTTAATCCCACAGGAGGAGATTTCCCATCTTTTCCCCTCAGCGTCCTGGTGGATTTGAGCCATCAGCAGAAAGCCATGACAAAATTGGCTTAGCACAATGCCCTACCGGCTACAGCTGTACTTTTTCTCTAAAGTCATTTTTTCCCTAGATCTTTATCTGCTTAATTAATTACAGGCTTTCTGTGAAAAGAAGGCTTTAATAAAACGTAAAGATATAATAAGTGGCCAGTGAGAATCCATTAAAACCAGTATTTACACATACAGAACAGGGCTAACTAAAATAAGACTTGGTTGCCATTGAGTCAAACGTGACTGATAGCAACCTTGTGAACAAACGGCCTGAAGCTTTTCTGTAACTAGCATCATTTATCAAAGTTCATAGAGTTTACAGAGGCATGTTGTTTAAGCAGTAAATGCCACTCCTGCTATTTTTAAAATTACTGCTGCTAAATCCCTTCTCTTTAAAACTGGTTTGCATTAGTGAGCCATAAGTTTAGTAGGTTTTGACTAGCATATCTTGCAATAAAATAAAACTTGTCAAGAACATTGCATACAGTAAAGCTAAGTGCTGTTTTGTTCATTTCTGTTTGTTTGATCCAAAATATATTGCTTATTTGGATCAGGGCCAGAAAAGGTTTTTTTAATTGATTGTGGCTATCCTGAGATCTAGCAGTATTTAGAATTTCCTTTGAAAAGTATCTATTAAAAAAATAACTTTGTCTTGATAAATTTGTTTCCTTAAATAATAATAATTTTGTTTTTATGAATATAGTAATTTTGCTCTTCTTAGAGTATTTCACAGACTGTGATATACGTAAACAGTAATTCATAAGTAGGCAAGCAGTAATTCCTAAGTAGGCATTTCACATATCCCTACAATAGAAAGTGTTTATTTGGTTCTATATTGAATCTAGTTCAGTGTACCAGTAAGTAAATACATGTGCAGAATTTGAATACAAATGAGGTCGTGAAGGAAAAGAATTAGGACAGAAATTGAACCCAGAAGGAGTTTCTTAACTCTCTTCAGTGTTTCACAGAGAGCACAAGGCTATGTTTGAGAGGAAATGATAAGTGGGTATAACCTCAGATTAAGGAAATGCTTCCTATGGGTGCTTTTCCTGCATGATAGAATTACAGAGGCATCAACAACAATCAGACACTTTGATTTTAAACACTGAAACATTTGTTATTCTCTACTAAATCATACAGGCGTGTTGGGGAGTAAAACAAACTGATTTTATAACTAGAAAATTTATAACTGTCAGGAAGACTGGGTATGGACAATGTCCTGTACACAAATTTCAATCTGAAAATGTCAGTCTAATTACCTGTAAATTACATTCTTAATCTTACTTATACTGTGCTGTTTTAGGACAGGTTATCAATGTTATTGGTGTTACAATTTAATACGAACTAGAATTGGAACATTATGGGAAGTCAGTTAGTAGAGTTTGAAGGTCTGTTTTCTCAACAAACCTTATTTAATGATTTTTTTTTGTCAGTCTATATCACATGTTTTCAATGTTTAATAGTCATCTTCGTATGAAAATGAGAGCCTGGCACATACTCGTTGTCGTCAAGTGGGAACCTGTATATAATAGAGGCTGAGTTAATAGTGGAAAAGTAGAAAGACTTAACAGGTTTTCCCCCTAGTACTGGATAAATACTTTTCTAAACTTTTGAGCTCATGATGGCAATTTGGTTAACTTGATGGTGTTGTCCAAACTGGCTCATGGCTGACCCTCCCATCAGTTTTTTCAGAGGCAGTAAATAGCACGGGCAGAGATTGCCTGTCTTTACCCACAAAGCTGCTGGGTTTGGACCATTTGCCTTAAGGTTGACAGCACAAGTCCTTACCCCTCAGCTCCTAGAGCTCCCTGTATGCAGTTAAATGTATGTTTTATATTTACTAATAAATATATAAATAGATATTATATAATATATGTGTACTTTTATTACAGACTCCTGGATTTGGTTCGTCCTGTTCCCCAGGCTTCACAGTATTTGAGCTTTGTTCAGCCATCCCCTACCGCAGGATTTTCTCATTTGTCCCCAGTGTCCAACTTATTACCACTAAATGAATTAAAAGGGTCACCTCAAAACACCTCGGGTGCATCAGAATTTAATTTACTTGAAACTCCTCTTGTTGTTAAGGTGAGTATTACATATCCAGCATATGATGTTAAGACAGTTTTTATTTTCAGGTGTCAGAAAATAAGTTTGTGATAACTTTATTTCTAGGTAACTAATGGCTGTAAGCTGTTATTCTTGCTTCTTTTTCTTCTACTTGGTTAAAAAAGTGTCTAATCAGTCTTCCTCTTTTGCCTAATTAGCATCATATTTTATAGATATTACCTCTTTTAGCTCCTTAGCATTCTGTCTTGAATCTCAGAACCTTTCTCTCTCTCTCTTTTTTTTTTTTCCGGGTTATCTTTCTGGGTATATGTAACATCACAGTAAAACAATAGGGCTACTTTTCAAGCTGAATAAAAGATACTATTATAAATGCTAGCCATAACGTTATTAAATTACCAAGATGTGTTTGCTGGAGCTCCCTGATTAAAACAAGCTTAGAAGCACGAGTGGTGTCCACTTCCAAAATAGCTTGCCTCTGAAAACCCTATGAACTTGGAGAAAGGATGAAAGTTATAAAAGTGTTCAGGTCTTCCGTTCATAGGGTCTCTATGAGTCGACAGCACTTAACAACAACAACAAGAGTATTAGATTCCAAACACTGTCTACCTTATTAATTAGTTCTTTATTTTTAAAATGGAACTCACAGTGAAACTTACCAGAGTCTCTAGAATGATTCTGAATGCAATTTTCCATTTTGTAGCCTTGTGAAAAGGCATCCTGGGGTTTGTAATAGTTAAACACTGAGCTGCTGACGAGCTCTGTAATTGGAACGTTCCTGTTATTCCTGGAGTGAAGAGATATGGTGGTCTGCTCCCATAGACCCTGGATGGTGGTACAACTCGGTCACAGGGCTGCTGTGAATCAGAATCACCTCAGCAGCATGCAGAAACAGCCTTGTTGTTGTTGTTAGCGACCCTATGAAGGAGAGTCCTCGACGCTTGGGTGCCTTTCATCCTCTCTCCAGGTTCATAGCATTTCTGGAGGCAAGCTATTATGGAAGTGGATGCCACTCCTTCTTCCACGCTTGTTTTGATCGGGGAGCTCCACCCCACTCTCTGTCCACATTGGGTAGCCAACCATTAACGCATTTGACACATCATTGTCACAGTGTTCAGCCTCACAGCAACCACAAGTGGCAGTGGGACGGCAAGTTGTACACCAGGGCTATACGACCTAGAGGAATGTCTGAACAATAACAATGAAAGACTGGCCTGAGGGCCTTACATACAGAAAAAGTTGAGTGGAGTCATGATGTTTTTATTGTTTGTTTCTGTTACAGTAGTCAGTGTGTCTATTGGTAATGAAAATAGAGGCACTCTTACAGTTTTGATTTTCTACTCTGCCTTATGTAGTTGACATTCACAAACACTAATGGTGGCATTTTATTCTTTGTCATAGAAAGCTAAAACTTTGGCCATGTCGGTTGCTTCCACTGGATTTGCAGAATTCACCCCTCAATCCATCCTAAGGTCTGGTCTTCGAACAACACCTTTAGCATCTCCTTCTTTGTCCTCTGGAAGGTCTTTTACTCCTCCTTTACGACTAAAAGAAACAAAAATTTCATTCATGGAGGAAGGCTCTGCCATCAAGTGGACTACTGAAGTGAGTTTAATAATAATTTTTGAGAAACCAAATAAAACACATCATAAGCCCTTATCAAATAAAAATGCATACAATATCATTATAGGTTATTGTTACAATCTTGTAAATGCTTATGAAATCAAGAAGCATTAGGTCAGACAAAAACTTAAGAAACTGACTGAGCCGCGCTAGTCAGTTCACAGGTAAGGAGATCGGGCTCCTGTGCACTAAAATTTAGTGACAGAAGTAGAACTAGAGCATAATCCTTCTAATGCTTAGTTGATGGGATTTTATTTGTTCTTTTTGGCATTTTTTTAGTTTTATTTTTACTTACAGCATTTTGTTTCTTTTATTGAGCTTCTCACTGTTTTTCTAAGATGTATCTTGGAATTTCACTGTATCTTGATAATGTTGTTATTACCATTGAGTCGGAACCAACTCATGGCTGACACTCCAGTGGGTTTTCTGAGGCAGTAAATCGCACTGGAGATTACCGTCTTTCTGCTCTGGGGCCACTGGTGCATTCAAGCCACCACCTGCCTTTTGAGTTCACAGTCTGTTTACCTCTAGGCAACCAGAGTTCTTTATAGGTTAATAGGAGCCCATTTATTTATGATTGTTATTGATCTTACAATTTCTTGCCAGTTATGGAAACAGTTATGTATCTAAAGAAATTCTTCTAGTACATTTGTGAGGAAGAGAAATGAAGTCTAGAAAGGTTGGATGCGATAAAGACTAAACTAATTTTTGATAGTAAAGTTTTTTTTTTAAAGTTGTTGGTTTGTTTTTTTTTTTGTTTTTTTTTCTTTTTTAAAATCTTACTTAATAGGTTGCCAGTAGAAGCAAAACCGGGGCATTTATTACTACACCTTTTGCCAAAGATGCACTTCAAGCAGAAACCGAGTGGCTGATGTGCAAAGATAAACCCATATCTTTTTCCCTGGGTGGTCCTGAGACTGACCATCCAGAAATAGCTATAATGTCACTAGATACGCCTTCCCAAGCTTTGGAGAAACTAGACATGAGCAAAGAAAGCAGCATGACTTCAACCAGATCAGACCTCACCTCATTGGAGTACCAGGATGCTCCATCCCCTGGAGAGTCACAAGATACAGTTTTGAGGGCCTCTAAGCAAGAAGGCTCTTCAGCTGAAATAATCACTAACTTAACAGAACCAGTGGAAATGGAAGATGATAAAGATGAGCCCGAGTCACAAGTGACTTCTCCACACCGAGACAAACAAACTGGTAAGAATTTATTTTCACAGTGTTCATCCTTGTCATCCATGTTCCTCCATAAAATAAGGAGTGGAATTTTTTTTTTTCTTTCTTTTTTCCCACCATGAGCAAAACATCGAGGTTAGACAACAATTGTGAGCTATTCTTTCAACTTAGAACCATGGCAGAGGGGAGCAGCGATGTTGGAGGGAAATGTCGATGTTTGAGGTCTGATGACTGTTTTCTCTTTAGGGCCTTCAGTCACTCTGAAAGAACTGGCAGTCTGGTGCTATAGTCCCTAGAGAATTGCCCTGCTGACCCTGAGACTTGGACTGTCTCCGTTTGAGCTTTACAGCTTTGGAAGCTTAATGGGGGCTCAACTCAGAGTCAGAGCTCTGTAACTGGATGCCACTGAGCTTGTGTTGAGCTGTCATGTCCTTTTGTAAATGCTGTGCTGAAGGACAGAAAGAGATTTAGTTGTGTGCTGTCAAGTCAGAACTGACGCTCCAGTGGATATTCAGAGGCTGTAAATTGCAGAAGAGATTGCCCATCTTTCTCCTGTGGAGCAGCTGGTGGATTTGAACCACATACCTTTGTACTGGCAGTGCAATACCCTACCATCAAAGCTCCCTGTAGGAGAACACTTTTGTTGTTGTTGTTTTTGTTGAGTACCACTGACCCATAGCTGATCCTCCAGCAGGTTTTCAGAGGCAGTAAATTGCTTGGGAGGAGATTGCCCATCCTTCTCCCATAGAGCAGGTGATGGCCTTGAACTGTATGCCTTCGGGATTGCAATGCAGTTTCTTGTCACTAGGCTACCAGAGCTCCTGAAGAACACTAAGAAAAACTTAAAATTGGTGGATCATAAGGCTAGTTTTTAGGTTATTTACCTAAGAAAAAGTTTTGGCAAGTGTATTTAAAGGCAGTGCCTAATTTTAAAGTTGTAAAGCCTAAATAAGAACATTTTAAAGTGTAAGCGGTTTTTTTAAGGGAACTCTGATGGCCTTGTGGCAAGAAGCTGTGATGCAATCATGGAGGCATGTGGTTCAAACCCACCAGATGCTCTGCCTGGAGAAGGAGGGGCAAATCTCCTCCTGTGCCAGTTGCATCCAATTCAAGGGTACACAACAACAACAAAATAGAAACATTTTTAAATGAAAATGTTTCAAACATGTTCATTTAAAGTAAATTTAAACCATGAACATTTGGACCATAAGTGATTCCATTTGGAAAATTTTTGTCTAAATTGAACTAAGATTTCTATCTAAGATTTTTTTTTTTAAATTTTATTATATATACATTTTTTATATGTGTACCTTCAAATGGGATCTGACTGGTGCAGGAGGAGACTGTCACTCCTACAGCAGAGCATCTGGTAGATTTGAACCATGCACCTCTGGGATTGCAGTGCAGCTTCCTGACACTAGGCCTAAGATTCTTAAAATACGAGATATCTTTAATATAGGTAGTAATCAATCTAAGAGCTAAAGTATGTACATAATAATGTCTGGAAAGTTATTCTTTTGATGTTCTAGGTTCTTTTAAAATCTTTGCATGGTCAAATACTAGATGATAATGTCTGTGACAGTAGGTTAAAATACTTAAACCATAAAAGCCAAACCTGCTACCGTGGAGTTGATTTTGAATCTGAGCCCACTCTTTTGGGGTTTCCAAGGAGGGATACTTAACATGAGGAGATTGTCCATCTTTCTCCTAAGGAACAGCTCTTAAGTTCAAAGTGCCAGCCTTTCTTTTATCAACCCAGCATCTAACTTAAGCCACTTGCGCTCCTTTTACAATAATTAGGGAGGTTCATAAATAAAAGTATATGTGGGTTTTGTGAGGTATCATAAGTATAGCACAAACTTTAGAGCTGGACAAGCGAAATTTGACTCCCCGTTTGAGTTTTCTTCATCTCTAAAATGGGCTTGCTAGCCTAATGTTGAGCACTGAATACATGTAAAGCCCTTGAAACAATGTATGTTAAAGGAAAAGGGAAAAGTGGAAGAGGATGGGAGTCTGAGTTACAAGACGAAACTGCCACCATCTCATTCAAGGCAAGACCTGAAAGACAAAAAAGCAGACCCAAGAACTCTTTTTTAAAAGTGGCCATCTAAAACCAGATATAAACTCTGACATTTCTAAGATTGTCAGTATTCTTTTCTCTATGCTTTATAGGCACTTTAGAAGTTACGGAAACAAAAGATCACATTCCAGAGGGGACAATTTTAGAATTGCCTGAGCAGTCAAGCCCTGTTCAGGGACTTGATACTTCTTGTGCACCGTCAGTCCACGAAGGGTAAGTTAAAAGGAAAAGCAAATGTGTTTTCTGTTAAGAAAGAAGTTCATTTATATAGTTTTGTGTTATAATTCTGGTAGTTACCACCAAATCTTCAAATCCCCTAAATACACATATGGATTGAGGTCTGCCTCTTTCATACTCTTCAGTGTTTATAGTTTTGTGAGGATCAAATTTTAGCTCATACATTCCTCTGTATCCTTCTCTTGTCACTGGTTTCTAGCTAAGTTTTTATTTAGTGACAGTTCTCCTTTCCTTCCAATTTGTTACAGTGAAAGCTTTGTGCCAGGAAAGCTCTTTTATCACCCTGACAGTGGTCTATTGAATGGATGCCATTTCGCTAGCTATAAAAGCATTAAACGGTCTTGGATTAGAAAGTGTTCTTTCTTTATTGAATGTCAGCTGAGCCTGGAATAGCATGATTTAGTGAAGTACTTGGTTTCTAATCTGACCCAGTCATTGTAAGACTGGATGCAAACAATGTTGCATGTCAGTATTTTAAGAATAGCATTGTTGTAGGGGCCACATAAATAGTGGCTTCTGCAGTTACCAAGTCATAATAAAGGTTCCTTATTAAAATGGATCATTTAGGGCATTGTGATTGTTTCATTGCTTCATGTGCATTCATGAAAATGGCCTCACTTACTCTTCATAGAAATCAACATCCTGCCAGTCAGGTCTTAACAGCTGAGCCTGATCACATGTACACTTGAGCTCTGAGAAGAAAACCTCAAGTTGGCTAGAATCCTTGCAAAAGCATGCATAGAAAGAGAGAAACCAATAAAAACTATTACCCAGATTGCTTTATTACTTAGTTCTAATTACTTGATTTATAAATGTTAATGAAAGCTAATGTTGTTTTTAAATTAATGGATAATCACGAAGCAGAGAGCAATCAAGTGGGAATAAATTCTGGACACCAGTGACAATTTATGTGAATATCAATGGTTTGAGCAAGCTTGTTGCTTTTAAAATACTATTTAATGTTTATTATAAATGATATGATTTGGTATAAATGGTAACATTCTTCAAAGCATTTCTCTAAATAAGTAAATGTGTGTAATTCTCAATACATAGTTTTTCTTTAATTTACTTTATTAATATCCTATTTGTAAAAATCAGCGTATCACTCTAGTGAGTTCAGGAGATAGATGAGCGCAAAGCTGTACATGGCACCTGTTCAACTGTTTTTACATGATGAGTAGACAACAGATCTGTCATTCTAAGTTAGTCATTATTACACAGTTCTGAGTAGTATTAAATACTGAGCCTGAAGTTACTGGGTAAATAAAAACATTTGTACTTTAACAGGCTTATTCAAAGAATTTAAACACAAGTTAGAGAAATTGACCTGCATATATTTTATGCAGGCCAACTTACATTTTCAAATCACTGTATTTACAGTTTATATTCATAACATTCTTGCCCCAACAAAGTACATTATTAGAATTCAGGAAAAACAAGTAATTTCTAAATTCATTTGTAAATTATATAGTGCTCTGTAAAGTGAACTTGAATGATACTAACTCCTCTGAACCTCAGTTTTCATCAGAATGTGAATATAGCTAGAGAAGGTTAAAGCAAAATTGGATCTTTTCCACTAACGTGTAGAATTCTGTTTATAAATATATATTCCATTTATAAGCAGTATTTCTTTTTCCAAAGGAAAGTCTTCCTCCCGGAATCTGTGGTACCAGTTTTGGATGAAGGACTAGAAGGATCTGTTGAAAACTTCATCTCTGCAAGTACAGCAGATAACAATAAATGTAAGCATTGTTTTTGAACCTAAGGATTATTTCATTTTAGTGATTTTTGAGTAAAAAGTTTTCTAGGAACAGAAGAGTTTATTGTCCAGATTTCTTGTCTCAGGTTTCCTTGCATAGTTGTGGCATTCTGAGGAGTATGTCAGCTGTCAGAATAGAGCGTTTCATGGAAGCACTCTGTGACTTAAACAGTGAGAGTAGAATGGTTTTTGTGTACATCCAGTACTTTGAAACATATAAGAGGAACTAAGTAGCTAAACTACATGTAACCATTTGCTCTTCTGAGACTTTGGTGACTGCATGGGGCATCTTTTAAGCCTGACGAGTATTAGATTGAATTTATTCAGAGAAATTAACCACTCTGTGGTATTGATTTAATTTTATGTGTATGTGTCTGTTGGCACAGGATTGGACAAACGTTTTCAATCTTTTGTTCCCAGGGTAGAAACTCAATTTGCAGACTAGAACTGCCCAGACAGTTTCATTGGCAATAATCTTTACAAAAGTCTTTTACCTTTCCAGGTCTTTTACCCCTGCAGCCACTAAGAGGACTCAAACTTCTAATTTTTCAGTTGGCATTTGAGCATTTCACCACTGTGTGTAAGGCTTCTGGCCACATTCTGCTTTATAGACATGAAGATATGCTTTCTGTATGAACTCCCTATTGTGTTTGAGGAAAATAAAATTCCACTCACTGCTGTCAAATTGGTTCCGACTCATAGAAAACCCTCCATTGAGTTGTTAAGGCTAAGAGTGTGTTTTGGGGGTTGGGTTTTTTAAAAATTTATCTTCTTACATTTGTCCGAACATAGTTTACATACATTGTATCTTGTACAATTCTTCACATACATTGTTTTTTATATTCTAGTTTACTACTGATCAATGCCTTTAATCACCCCACCTTATCAGGTCCCCATTGCATGTTACCTAGCTGAGGATTTCCCTGGTAGTAATTCATCTACTCTTTACAATTACGCTGTTAATCGTAGAGCCTGTGATTTTAATTAATATCCCTGTCACCTTAGAAATATGGCTTTGGGGAATTTTGAACAAACTGGTTTGTTTTGTTTTTCCCTGTTTAAGATTGTAATAAATGTTTACTTTAAGGGGAAAAAATACCTACCACACTTAGCTCGAATCCACTGGTTATTCCACAGGAGAATGATGTGCATTCATTCTCTTTCCGTGAGATTTACAACCTCTGAAAACCAACTGGCACTGAGATACAGTTTAAAATAGAGAATTCTCTTTCCATGTAAAGGGGAAAATCTATAACATGTCTGCCCATATTGCAAATTGTTAGCAGTTGAGCAGGGTAAGTGTGTCCACATGTACACACATACTTCCCCAAAACTTTTGTTACGCTAAAGAGCATAGGGACTTGAGCCAAACTGTTTGTGTCAGAATTGATATGCACTGAATGACTCTTAAGATTTTGGGTAGTTTCTTAAACCCTGTCAGATTTGCTGTTAAATGAAATATTACTTGTACCCATTATAGTTTTTCTTAAACCCTGTCAGATTTGCTGTTAAATGAAATATTACTTGTACCCATTATAGTTCTTCTAATTGAGTTGTATATGTTAAGTATTAGTACTGGTACTGAGTGCCTAGTAAACAGTAAATGTCATTTTTTATTTGCTGCTTATCATATATTGTCCGCTTACCAAAACCCCAACTACATTTTTCACTTAGGCGTTAGTAACAAGAGATCAAGTCCATGATAGAGGGGGCTGTGATCTTTCCATTTATTGTGGATTGGTGTTCATTTTTGTCAGTTGTCTGTTTCCTGTGCTGTCTTAATTCTGCAGTGAATATTCCTCTTTGTATCTCTTTGCCCCTTCTGGGTCAGTATCTCTTGTTGGTAGATTCCTAAACTTGAACGTACTAGGTCAAGAACTATTCACAGACACTTCATACTCAGTTGTTTCCTGTGATGAAAGTTTTTGTGGACAGTTGGAAGGTGTTTGAAGTGGAGGGCTATATTTGTGGCCATTTGACTGCTTTCTGCTAAACTAGAGTGTTCCAGAAGTGTTTAGAGGCAGGTATATTCAAGGCCAGATTACATGTTCTCATCCAGTTCTGTTCCTTGGAAAAGTGGACGGACAGGAAGATCTGAGGGAGAGGAAGATCTTCATCGAGGTGGATTGACAGAGACTGCAGCAAAAGCTCAAGTGTGTCAGAGATGTTGGAGATGGCACAGGACAGGAGACAGGGTTCAGATCTATTGCTAATAAAGTTGTGATGTTTCTTTCAGCACCTAACAACAACAACAACGTGTAATTCTACAATGGGTAGCTAGTTGCCTGTGTGAATATAATTTTTAGAATAATGAGGATCAAACATTTTGAGCTCTTTACAACAGTATCATCATGATAAAATTTCACAATAAGGACAGAAATTATACTCTTGTTGTGAAAAACCAGTGTCATCTTTAATGCCTGATCTTAACTACCTTCTGTGCCTTACCTATGGAAAGCAAATACATACTGTTTAAACAGATGGAATAGTGACTAAAAACAGCATTAATATGTAAATCTAGATGCTGTGAAATTATGGCAGTTATCATCAACATGATAATTCTTATGTGTATTGTTGCCTTCTTCTCAGTGTAAAATGTGGAAGATTAACTCTGGTTTTTCTTTCAGCTCTGGTGGATACCTTAACTGATAGCGGAGACTCTGATCCTATTGCCTTTGAAAGTCCTATTATCTCTGAACATACGCTTGATCAGGAAATAGCATTGAACCTAAAAGAAGTTAATGAAATGGATACTGATGTGCAAAAACAAAATCTATCAGCTGAAAAGCCTCCAATTTCTGATGGTCCTTCAGATGCTCACGAAATTCATGTAAAATTTTTTATAAATTTATTTTATTATTAGTTTGTTTCATTAGGTCTTAAGACACTATAGTTCCAACCGAATACGTTAACTAATTTGACTGCTATCCCCAAAAAGAAACCTTACAAGACCAGTACGTGATAAAGAAATATTTTGTGGGATATGTAAGAATATAACTTTTAAGTAATACATTGGTTTTCATGAAAATCCAGACTATTAAAAAGACACAATTTAGTAATTGAATTTTTATTTAGTATCTAGTTAAAGGGGTTTTTTTTTGCTATTAGAAAACAGCTAAAAAAATAATGACATTTAGACTATTCACAGTATATATTTGTGTGTGTGTGTGTGTGTGTGTGTGTGTGTGTACATGTACATGTGTGTGCATCTATTTCTAATTGAAAATAATCAGATAATGTGGAACAGGATTTCCCCCTCTCTGTTCCCACAGTGGAAGAATAATATTCAGCTGGCTGGGATTAAAATTCCCATTCACTCTAGACAGATTTTTTTTTAAGAGTTTTGTCATTTACTATTTATAAAAATTTCACCAAATGTTTTATTAAGCTGTAATTTTTATACAGCAAACATATTTAAGACCTATCCAAATCTAGTCATAGAACTTTGGAAGTTTAACTCCCAAAAATGTCCTATGTATTCATTGATCTTCATGAATGATCTCTGAATTGGAAGGATAAAATCCCTTAATCTTTTATCTTGGGGAGCTAATAAAAAATTGTGGGTGCATGGTATGAGTGGGATTCCTCGTCTCTGGGAGTTTCTCATCTGTCATCTCACTGCTGTTTGGGTGTGGGGGAAATGTTGTGTAGGTGGGTGGTGATGTTCTACCTTCTTGGTCAGGAGATCTATCTCTCTGTTACTTTCTACCTCCTCCTTTTTCTCCCCTTCCCTTACCAAAAGGTAAATGCAAGGACCATTCCTTCCTCCACCAAACCCTTGCAGGAGAGGTACTGAACTTGAAAGCCTTAGGAATTTCATGGTTTATGCAGCCCCAGCAAAGGGAAGAGGATTGAGTCTAGCCCAAGGGAGCTTATGTAGGTGACTTCTTCTTCAACCTTATGGGGATCATGCTGTTTAGAAAAGTGCAGATCGTTAGGAGATTTGGGCATTATCACACAGTTTGGGGGTTGTTTCTTTTTCTCTGGTTAATTTTTTTCTTGAGTGAGAGTAGAATAAATCCTTAATTCTTCTCAGAGCTGTTAGCATTATGCTGCTTTGCAAGGTTTTGTTAAGACTTTTTTTTTTAAGCCAGGGAAATGTGGTATGCCTGCTTTTAATTCCAGTCATAATCTCAAAATCTATTATTTAGTTATTTTGACTGAGTGAGAAAGCGTAATTGTTTAAATGGATAATCTTTATACAGTAAACCCATAAACCATATCAAATGTAGTTTGTGTTAATGTACGTACACCAAAGGTGAGATGCTCATTTAAAAACCTTTATATTTAAAATAAGTGGATTTATAAGTAATAAAAATCTTTAATCTCTTACCTTTAATTCTTTTTATTGTAGGTGACTGAAAGTGAAAAAGTTGAAGCTCAAGATTTAGGAGAAGAGACTAGGAATCTCTCGCATAATGAGTTATATCCCTCAGGAACTCTTAAATTTCGGTATAATTTTGATACCATTGAACACCAGTTTCATGACTTACCTGATAACAAAGACTCTGCTGAGAGTGATGCTGCCGAAGGGGATGGAGAACTTTTTGTGGCTCAGAGCAACTTTACCTTAATATTGGAAGGTGAAGAAGGAGAAGTTGAAACGGATGATTTCACAGCATCGAACATATTAGTTAAAGCCACTGACACAGCAACTGAGGAAGAATTTGTGCACCTTGGGGAAGATGATAATCATGGGCATATTGCAAATTTGCCTTCTCTCATAAAAAGTGACCAAGAGTCTCAAAAAGGAGAGACCTTGCCATATGTGCCTGAACCCATTAAAACAGCGATTGCCGAGAACTTACTAGGTGTCATTAAAGACACAAGAAGCAAAGACGCAACTTCGGAAACAGTGGAACAGTCTATTCATGAAAACATGCCTTTAATAAGCCACAAAGTAACGCCTTCCACCAGCTTAATCAAAACTCCGTTGAAAACTATGGAGGAAACCAGTATGGTCACTAAAAATGTTAGCCAGGTAGAGGACACAGTTGCCTCCAGAACTCGCATGCGAGGACGCCGTGTCCAGAGCCTTAATATCCCATCACAACAGGAGGAGCCAGCTGCTTCTCCCGCTGCTAGTGTTCCTGGGCTTTCTGTTACAAAGAAAAGTAGGAGAACAAAAAATACTTCTCATGCTTCTGAAAATGTCTCTCCTGATGACGTCAAAGGACTAGCTCAGAGCCAGCGGATCCCTCAAACTCCTGTTACTCCTAAGAGAGGAAGGAGGAAAAGAAATACTGACCAAGACACCTCGGAAAGCAGTGACCCTGCAAGACAGGAGCCACACCTCCCTGCAGGTAAGGAGTTAAGACATTTAGAGTCATCTCAGCTTTTGGAACCGGCCACTGAAGAAACTTCTTTTAACAAAGAAATTACACTTACCTCTGCCTCAAAAAAGACTCCTAAGAGGGTTAAAAAGTCTGTTGCGAATCAGGAAGGAGTTGAAATGTTAAATGATCCAAAAATTAATACAGTGGCAAGTCCTAACAGAAGTATAAGAAAGTTGAGAAGTGCTCGTTTGACAGCCTCTGAAGATAAAGAATTTAAACAGGAATCAAAGTCCAGTGACCAGCATTTAGCTATTGAAGGCAGCAGAAAAGTCAAAGAGAAAGATGTGAGTATATCAGATGCAATGGATCACTCTAAATTTGAGTCATCGCAATTGACAACTCAGGCAGAATTTGATATACCTGCCACACCTAGGAAACGTGGAAGGCCAAGAAAAATCGAGCCATCTGCAGGTCCAGGATCAAAGGCTTTTGAGGGAGAGGGGAGCCCCCCAAAAAAGAAGGCTCTTATCAGCCAGAGGAGGTCAGCAAGGAACGCTCCAGCCAGAAGTGAAAATACTGACATGGGAAAGCCAGCTTTAGAAGTCTCTGTTTTATTGCCAAATGAAGAGCTTGCTCCTGTGGCAAGTTCTAAGAAGAGTACTACCAAAAGCAATAGGAAGCAGAGCCAAAAACGCTCCTTACACACAGTATCAGAAGAGCGCTTAGCTAAAGAGGTGGCAAGCAAAGAATCTGCTTGTCAAGAAGGATTGCTTGCTGCCTCTGTTCTGACTGACTCCTCTCGGAGCACAAGGACTCGATCTAACAGGGGTATCTTGCTGCCAGACCTTTCTGAACCAGCCAGTGAGCCTCTCTTATTTTCATCTGTGTCAAAAGTTCCAAAGAAAGAGAAAGGTACTACTTTGCTTTATTTCAAAACTTTGTTTCTATCTTCTAAAAAACCCTCAGCTTAAATTTAGTAGATTATTTCAAGACAGTGTTTGCACTGTATTTGATTGCTTACCCTTAAAAATATTATTGTTAAGGAACATTCTAAGTATTTTATTCTCTTAAAAATGAAAAGATTATGGTTTACCAGAAACTTTTTAGGCCTTGAGATGCCCTTGCTCTAGGTTTGATTTTTTTTTTCTTTTTTTTTTTCTTTCTCTCGTCTCCGTTCTGCTTTGGTGAACAGAATGCCCTGGTAAAGCACTCGATGGCTCAGACCTGTCAGTGGCTTTGCAGGAGAAAGGGCAGTTTTCTTCTCTGTCTTTTGTTTTTCTTTTTCCCTCATCTAGAACCAGCATTATAAGTCCCTTTGCATTTGACTCATCTCCAGTGATAGCCACAGCCCAGATTGATTAGGAGAGAAAAATAAGTCACTAGTATACTGAAAATATATCTATTGTCACTGGTGCCCCATGCATGGGCATCCATCCTACTTTGGTGCCTGGGAGCTGATGATTATATTGTTTGACTGTCACAGCTCTGCCTTAATAATAGGCAGCATCAGTCCAACAGTGTGAATACACCTTTACCTATAATAGGCAAACATTTTAATGGAGGGAAGAAACAATAGAGAAGGGGATAGGTTGAGACCCTCCTAAAGCTGAATAGGTTGCTTGAGTGTGGTTTTAAAGGAAATTGTTAATAAGAATGATTAGATAGATAAAATTGTTTACATTAACTTTGACCAAAAAAGGAAATTCAGCAAAACACTTCAGATTTTGTAACTACAGTAAGTGACTTTGTTCTTTTAGCTACGTAAACTTTTGAAAGCTGTCAAGGATGTCTTTTTTACATGATACCTTTTTTACAGGCATTACTTGGCAGGAGAGTTGATTGTAAGTCACAGGGGCACTAGCTGACAGCAGAACTGCCTCATGATTTCCTTGGAGCACATTACCAGGTCTGATTACTGATACTGGTGGCTTCATACCTTTCAATTAGAATGGAGTGTTGAACCACTGTGCCACCAGGGTCACTTGTAAATGCATTTGTTGTTTCTGCTTGCCATCTAGCTGGAACTGACCCATAGCTGACCCTCCAGAGAGTTTTCAGGTGCAGTAAATCACACTGGAGGAGATTGCCTATCCTTCTCCCATGGAGCAGCTGGTGTGTCTGAATTCAAACCATGTGCCTTTGGGATTGCAGTGCAGCTTCTTACCACTAGGCCATCAGAGCGCCCTTTTAAATGCATTGTTACTGTGTGCTGTTGAATCAAGTGTGATTCATAACTGACTCTCCTGCTGGTTTTCAGAGGCAGTAAATTGCCCATTCTTCTTCTGTGGAACACTTGGAGATTCAAACTACATTTTTTTGGACTGCATAACACCTTAACACTAGGTCACCAAGGCTCCCTTTTAAATGCTTTGTTGTTGTGTGCCATCAAATTGTAGCCAACCCTTAGCTGACCCTCTAGCAGGTTTTCAGTCACACGGGAGGAAATTGTCCTTGTCCCATGGAGCAGCTGGTGGGTCCGAACCATTTGCCGTCAGGATTGGAGCGCAGTTCCATACAACTGGGCCACCAGAGCTCACTTTTAAATGCATCAGTGAGTGAAAAGTTCTTGTCATTGCTTCCCTACTTGACGGAAGACTAAGAGAAACAGAAACTGTTTAAAATATTGTGAACTAAAACTTTCTTAACTTCACTGTGCAAAGACATTTGTTACAGTCTTACAACTCAAACACAAGGCAGAGCCCTTCAGGAATATTGATCATTTCCTAAATGTAATTTATACTTGGGTGACATTGTCCAAATTTGTTCAAGCCTTTGTTTTTGGTTGTATTAGGGGTTGAGTTGATTCGATTCAAAGCAAAGCATGTGTGCAAACTGGAGTTGAACTGCATAGGGTCTTCTGAGCCTTTCGAGCACATCATGGGCCTCTCATCCAAGGCATTGCTGGGTAGTTTTCGAATCACTAGCCTTTTGGTTAGTCGTCTAGTACTTACCTCTTTGTGCCACACATGGACTTCTTTGACTTGAGAGGTTGTATTTTGTGCCATCTAGTCAGTAATGGCCCAGAGCTGACCCTCTGCAGATTTTCAGAGGCAGTTAGTTAATCATAGGGAAGGAGACTCCCATCTTTCTTCCTCATAGGAGCTAGTAGATTCGAACTGAGTACCTTTTGAGTTAGCAGCCCATCTCCTCACCACTACAGTAATACCATAGAGTTCATTTTCTTTATGGTGGTAATCAAGGTGGTTTCATCTCTGCTTTGCAAAGAGGAGGAACACTTGGCACAGTGAGTTAAACATTGACTGCTAATTGAAAGGTCAGTTTTTTCAAATCTCAGCCATTCCTTGGGAGAAAAATGAAACAATCTGCTTGTGTAAAGATCCACAGCATGTCCAAAACCTCTGTAGAAGTTCATTGAAATAAAAGTAAATAAATATTTATTTATTTATTTATTTATTTTAAAAAAAATCCACAGAATAGAATATGCCCTGGGGAGCTTCTGCTCTGTCCTGAAAGGTTATTAAGCATTAGAATCAACTGTGTCAGTAGAATTGGCAAGGAGAATTAGTTTAAAATGTGAGATTTTATCAGTTTTGTTAAGACATTTCAGTGCATAATCATGAATTATAAGCCATAAATTTGTTTGGCTAAGATGGGAAGTATGTGTGTTTTTAAAAGAAGGGTATGCATGAAATTAAGAACAGGCATTTGTTCTGTGAATAAATTTAAAAGATAGCATCCTATTTTAAGTTCAGAAATGCTGGGTTGCTTAACAAATTTTACCAGATTTGAGAAGTTAAATCTTTATGCATGATACTTGTGGAAATGAAAGATCACTATCAATATTTTTCTTTTTTTAGGGTTCTTGTATTTTTTTTTTAATTCTGCTATTAGGGACCTCTCTAAAGTACTCAAAAGCAACAGTGTCTCTCTGGAGACTAAGGTGCACCTGATACAGGCCATGGTCTTTGCAGTCACTTAGGCATCAGAGAGTTGGACAGTGACTAGGGAGGATAGAAGGAGAATTGATGCCTTTCTTTGAGCTGTGGTGCTGGAGAAGAGTATTGAATGTACCATGGACTGCCAAGAAAACAAACAGATTCATCCTGGAGAGAGTTAAACCAGACTACTCCTTGGAGTCAAGGATTCTGGGGCTTCGTCTGACACACTTTGGACGTGTTAAAAGGAGAAACAGGTCCTTGGAGAGGGACATCATGCTTGGTAGGGTGAAGGGACAGCGCAGGAGGGAAAGACACTCTGTGAGGTAGATTGATTCAGTGACGGGGGCAATCGGGATTGGTGTGTCAGAGGCAATGCGATTGGCACAGGATAGAGCGGAGTTTAGGGCTGTTGTACATAGGGTCGCTATGAGTCGCAAGCGACTCGATGGCACATAACAACAACAACATTATTAATTTCAATGAAAATTTACAGAGACTTTGGATTTCCATTCATTCATTGTTGCACTTTTCTCCCCTCCTAACTCTCCCCTCTAGTACATTACACTCTTGGAGAAGTAAAAGAAAAATTCTTTCATTGTTTTACAATCTCTCCCCCCAGGTCCACTCCACTATACAGCCTTCCCTCTGGACTCCTGTCATGACAAATATATCCAATCACATAACCCTTTTAAACAGTTTCAGTGCAGTATACATTATTGAACCCATCTTTCTCAGACTCCCCCCAGCCCCGATTTCAGTCCTGTTTTACAACAGTGGCACCGTGTAGTATTTGTCCTTTTGTGACTGAGATATTTTACTCAGCATAATGTCCTCCAGAGTCACCCATTTTGAATAATATTTCATGAGTTCCTTGTTTTTCAATGCAGCATAGTATTCAATTGTGTTAATATACCACAGCTTCTCTATCCATTCGTTTGTTGTTTCCAACTCCTTGCTATTGTGAACAAAGCTACGATAAACATGGGTGTGCATGTATCTGCTTGGATGCCAGTTATGGTTTCTTTGGGGTATATTCCCAGTAGTGGAATTGCTGGGTCAAATGCTATTTCTATTTGCAACTTTTTGAGAAAGCGCCATACAGGCTTCCACAGTGGTTGCACCATTTTACACTCCCACCAACAGTGAATAAGGATTCCAGTTTTCCACAACCTCACCAGCATTTGTTGCTTGCTCAGTATTTTTCTTAAACCACCTCCCCTTCTCTCTTTTTTAATAATAATCTCTATCCATGACTTTATTGGCTTGGTCTGCCAGAACCTTTACATAACATTTTTTTTGTTACTTTGGTATATTATTAAAAATGAAGAAAAAATAAATAAAACACCACCAAACCAACCCCATAATGATTTTAAAAGAGCATCATTAACATAACTCATACTTTCCATGGTCAGAAGTATGGTAAACCTAGTAAACATAGGCTATTTTGGTACCGGATTTTAACACCATCAGTAATTCTTGTATTAGTCATTTTTACGTAATTGTCATCTGTAAATTTACTAAATACTTACATGTATTTTATATTTTCTATTGTATTATTTTTGGTTAATGTAACTGTTCGTGTCTGCTATAGAAAATTGGAAATTACAGATTCTAACCACATTTTTCCCTGTATCCTTTATTCTTAGGTCTTTGTATACACACACAAAAAAAGATATTTGTGTATACGAATTATTTTAAATTTTTTCTTTACCAAATGTTCTGACTCTTTTCAGATCCTCTTAAATATTCTTCAGAAATCTGAATGGATGTGGCTTTTTTATGTATTTGATTTGGTTTTATTACATAATTAAAAATTGACATGTTACATTTCGTTTGCTTAAACATGCTCCTCCTGTTGGATAGTCTGGTGGTTTTCCAATTATTTAATAAAAAAAATAGATTCTGGTGTGACATAAGATTGGAGAAGATGAGAAATGTTATGATTTCTTATTTTTTGCCACATACTCGCTGGGAGCAAAGATAAAGACTTTTATTTCTAATCTCACACTCCTATTAGAACTACATACATTTATAAACAGTTTGACATTTGATAGAGCTTTTTAATAGAATATGAAATAGCATTGAGCTGTAATTTCTATTCAAGGGTTTATAGAATATATTCATGAGATAGTACTGTAAGCTATTGTGTAGCATTAACTATATTTTTATGTACTTACTATGCATTGTTCTTTGTCTTGGTTGATTAATTAATAATGTATAGCATTTTGACGCTTTTTTGTTAATAGAAATTCTTACAAAAGTTGTGGATTTGGTTTTCTTCCCCTAATCTTTCTTTAGCTAAGAAAATAGAAGCTTCTACACAGCTGAAAGAATTGGTTTCAGATTTATCTTCACCATTTGTCTTCTCACCTCCTACTTTGAGGACCAGACAAAAAAATTCGTCAGATATGTCCAAGCTTATAGATAAATCGGTAAGGAGTGCACGGTATTTTATTTGTATGCTTGTTAACAAACCAAAGCTTTTGCTGTTGTTCATTGTTTTGAGAACACTAGTCATTGCCTTGTTTACATATGGGACCTCAGTCTTTCAAGACAAATCTGTGGCACATTCCTGATGGTATTTCTGGCTACTGCAGTTTAATTTATACTCATGTCTCACCTCCTGTGTTACTGAACATTCTGTGATCTGACTACTTCGTGCATGAGCCACATAAATCTGGCAATAAAAGCTCTGAAGGGTGAGATGAGAATGGGTGCTGGCTGAAATCAGGGTCAGCTTCGCTGGGCCAGGATATTGTGATGCAGTGGTGGTTAATCACCATTTTCCCGTAACACCCTGGTCTTTGGAACCTAACCGGATTGAGAAATAAACAAAGGGTGTAGTTGCTAGAAAAAGCTTTTAATGTCTACCAGGATCATCTAGGTGTGTTTATTTAAAAGAAATTCTTGAGCCACAGCAGTGTCATTCAAACATCAGATGTGGAGAGAGTTGCAGAATAACTTAGTTAAGGAGGCTGAGAGAGAGTGTGTTAGAGAGAGGGAGACAGACAGAAGAATCATTTCTACATATCTGTGGACCATAACAGTACAATGGATGAGTTCTTGAACTTGACAGGTAGCCATGTTTATAATTTAAATAGTTCCTTGTTGATTCAGGAGATTTGGGGGACTTGGTCTCTGGTAGTCTAACATATATGTTTGTTGTTAGGGCCTGTCATGACTCATCGTGACCCTATGAGCCTCAGACCTAAATACTTCGCTGTCATTAACCATCCCTGCTTTTGCTGTCCTTAACCATCCCTGCTATACTCGCTGTATAGCATACCCATTGCTCCAGTCACTCTTAGTCCCTCTCATTGAGAGTCTGCCTGAATTCAGTCATGAGATTAGGAGGGCAGTGTGCATTGGGAACATTAAAATGGACAAGACTTGTGGATCAGTTAGTTGTATATGTGTAGTTTTAAATAACCAGGGTTTCTACTAGTAAATATCCAGAGAGTCAGTTTGTTGAATTTTAATTCATTAGCACTCTTTGGCCAGATCCCTTAACTCTGCCTAGAACTTTGTAAATATGCCTTTCCAGTGGATAATTCCTTAAGGTTTTTGGTTTCCCTCCTGTAGGAAGATCATCCTAAATTGACAGAAACTGTGGAAAAACAAGAGGTGAAACGACTCAAGACGCCAAAAACAAAGCAGGCGCGCAGGTGGGCTTCTGGGCTCTGATTACTGTTTTGTGTCTCAAAAATAGGGAAGAGTCATTTTACAAGGGAATTTAAAATGTACAACAAAATTAAATTTTAGGTGCATTTTATAACTGACTGGCTTTCTGCTTATGCAGTGGCTGCATGAGGAGGAATACAAAACTGTTTATAACTGACTTAGTAATTGGAAATGTGCTAGTTGTCAGAATTTTCCTTTTCATACATTTCATATCTTGTAAGACTCAAATTAAAATCGCAGTGACTGTTTTAATACCCTGGAAGTATTTTTTAGTGTTCTTGTTAGCAACTGCAGTTACTCCCAAGTCCTATTGAGTGCATGAAAGCAGGGTAGCACTGCACAGCACAGGCGCGCTCACTGTGAGCTTCCCCAAGTGCACAGCCCAATGTCTGAAGCCCCTCTGCGGGGCTCAGAAGTCAGAATTGTCTATTTGTACCTCTCACTGACTGGCTTGGGCAAGTATTTAGTAAGTAAAAATTCCACAGTTGTTTTTAAACATCTGAATAAATCAAAAAGAAAAGATCTCCTCAATGAAACCTTGGTTTCATTCTCACTCTGCCTCAAATTAATGTCACTCTTGAAACTGTTCTCTCTCATAAGAAATGAAGGCAGTGAACAAGATGTGTGTCTTAAAATTTCTTTCAATGTGTTGAGACTTGGAAAAGCTCACTGCATTCAAGTTAGAACCAACTCATAGCTGACCTTCCAGCCTACAGAAACAGTAAATCTCAAGGGAGGAGAATGCCCAGCTAGTGGACTCGAATCACCAGACAGCCACGCCACCATTAGGTTCATGGTGAAACTCCCTACCCATGCACCACCTGAGTTGCACTTAGATTTTATAATATCTTCATTTTTATTTGAATTATATCTTTTTTTTTTCCTTTTTTTTTTTTTTTTAATAGACAAGTTGAAGAAGAAGGAAGTCCTTGGACGACTCCTCCAGTAGAAATTAAGCTCATTTCTCCCTTGGCAAGCCCAGTTGAAGGAGTCAAGAGAGAACGGAGAAGGACCACTGAAGGAGTAGGGAGAGTCCTTGGGAGGACTCGAAAGAAACCATCTCCCTTTCCAAAGCAAATCTTACGCAGAAAGATGCTGTAATTTTTTTTTTTTTTTTAGGTTTTTAATACACACCAGTTTGTAAGGCCATCAAAATTGTGTGGATTATTAAAAATCACCCAATTTGGAAGTAAATAATTTATATAAACTGTAAATTTTTGTAAACAAAAGATCCTCAGTAAGTACAGAGTAGCTCCATGTGGAGTGTGATTCTTTTAATCACAGTTTTTCTATTTTATATTAAGACTTCATACCTTTATATAATATGTAAATATGGCTTAATATTGGAATGTTAAATAAAGTGTATACTTTACAGTAGTTTGTGTCTGTAGGTTTTTGCAGGAAATTTCTGTTCTAATGATTTTATATGGGAAGAGGCATTTATCCCATTCTCTTGCTCTACAGTTAAAAATATTAAGCCCATCTTAAAATAAGGATGATTTAACTATTGTTTTTTTGGTTTTAAAAAAAGTTGATATTTTACAATTTATGCACTTTGCTTCTGTGATTCAGATTTCTAATCAACAAGTGTAATTTTTTCTTTCTGGCTTTTACTCTGTTGAAATTTAATTATGGGCATGAACTTTTTGCTGCCTTTTTGTAGCTTAACAAGTTTTGTGTAATCTACCTCAAGTAAAACATTGGTTAACTGTAATGTTGGCATTACTTATTCAACAAGCTCAAAGGCTGTTTATCTTTAAAGTCTCCTAATTCTGCAGAGACTTAATTATCCAGGTTAGATTGACCGGTTCACTGCTCACCTAACAGTTTCATAAAAGGGTTTGAGAAAGACAGGAAGTGAAAGATCAGTCTCTTTTGTGGTTATTCAGTGCACCTTGTATGTGCCTGAAGACTGGAACAATGAGAAATTTGAACAGATTTTGCAATATGTTTTTTTCTGTGAAGGAACTTGCTACTGACTCATAGAAATCTTTTAATATTCAGGTTTTAAAACTGAAATTCTTACGGAACCTCAGGCACAAGACTATTGAGGGTAGAGAAAGGGTATGAATCAGTGTACACAGGGAAGGAGATGTACACCCACCCTGTTTGTATGACTGTGATTAAGTGGTGATACTTGATGTGGGCTATGAAATTCATTAATAAGTAAGTGGTGTAAAATAATTCACAGCAAGTAATTGATAGTGTGTCATGAATGGACCATTAAAAATTTATTGTCTAGAAACAGACTGTTGGTTAAGCTTTTCATGTGTAGCTTGAAGCATAAGCAGTTTGCTTTAGACATTATTTTTCTACCAAATAACAGTGCGGATAATGATGAAAATGCCTTTGCCAAGTATTGACCATGTGAAAGTAGCAGTGCGAGTGCGGCCTTTTAGTCAGGTTAGTGGTAAATGTTACATTTGCTTTTACTACGTTTTTAATAATAATTCTTAAACTCGTATTTAAGCTGCTTGTCATTTATGGACTATTAAACTTATTTAAATGAACTTGTTAAATGCATAATTTAAAGATCTAAACATAATTCAGTAAATACTTTATTCATTCCTTTGCACAAGTAGCACAATAAAAACAACTGAGAAAAATGTATTGTCAAATTAATACTTTCCTAAACCACTGTAATTCAGTAAGTTATAGGAGTTGTGGTACCTGTTTTTAATACATTTGCTACTTCTCTAATCAAACTCCTAAGTGAGCAAAATGCTGATTTTGAATCCTATATTTTAAAATACATTAGCTATACTTAACGATTTGTTTTGTTATGGGGTTTTTGTTTTTTGTGGTTTTTTTGTTTGGGGTGGTTTTTTTTTTTTTTTGTTATTGTTTTTACAAAAACCACTGCTCATTAAAATGCCTTCTTTTTTGGGGGGGGAGAGGAGGAGTGGGGTGTGTGTGTGTGTGTGTGAGTGAAATATCTTCAATAAACCATGGATTTTACTCCTTCCCAGACCTCTTTTCTAAGCTATTAACTCATTTGACGTGCTCTTCAACACTCTGCTGTGGATCATATACCATACTAAATATCAAGAGTTGTTGTTGTTGGTTGTTATATGCCGTCGAGTTGCTCGCAACTCATAGCAACCCTATGTACAACAGCCCTCAACCCTGCCATTCTCACTGCCTCTGACACACCCATCCCGATTACCCCAGTCACTGAATCAGTCCACCTCATAGAGGGTCTTCCCCTTCTGTGCCGTCCCTCCACCCTCCCAAGCATGATGTCCCTCTCCAAGGACCTGTCCCTCCTTACAAAATGTCTGAAGTATGTCAGACAAAGCCTCAGAATCCTTGCCTCCAAGGAGCAGCCTGGTTTAACCCTCTCTAGGATGAATCAGTTTGTTTTCTTGGCAGTCCAGGGTACATTCAATACTCTTCTCCAGCACCATAGCCAAAGGCATCAATTCTCCTTCTGTCCTCCCTAGTCATTGTCCAACTCTCTGATGCATAACAAGTGATTGCGAAGACCATGGCCTGTATCAGGCGCACCTTAGTCTCCAGAGTGACACCATTGCTCTTCAGAATCCTGGAGAGGTCCCTGACAGCAGACTTTCCCATCGCGATACGTTGGGTTTTTTTTGGTTTTTTTTTTTTATTTCCTGGCTACTGGTGCCAAGAGTGTTGGCCATGGAGCCAAGCAGGCTAAAGTCGTTAACAATCTCAGTCTCTTCACCATCCATCCTGATGCTGCCAATTGGTCCAGTGGTGAGAATCGTTGTCTTCTTGACATTAAGCCTCAATCCATATTGAAGGCTGCAGTCCCTGACCCTCTGCAACAAGCATTTCAGGTCCTCCTCAGTTTCTGCAAGCAGGGTTGTGTCATCTGCATAACGCAGATTGTTAATAGATCTTCCACCAATCCTGACGCCACACTTCTCCTCATAGTGCCCAGCCTCTTGGATAATCTGTTCTGGAAAATTCCTCATTTTCCATCAGCTTGCCGTTGAATGTGAGAAGTCATTTATTGCCATATGTATCATCCCTATCTCATCGAGTCACTTAAAACTTAACAACCCCATCAGGCTGTCAAATCTTTACCGGTGTAGACTCCCTCACCTCACACTTACGGGATATTGGTGGATTCCAACCACTGGCCTGTTAGCAGCTGAAGGCTTTCATGATTCTGCAGAGGAAGGTTACTTACACCTAATTGTGTTTGGAGAGAATGGGAAGGCTTCCTAGAGGTGGAATCATTTTCTGTCTGACTGTAAAGGAAAGAAGATTGGGATCAGAACATTATAGACAGAGCAACACAAAAATATTTGACCGAGACTGATTCTGAATACAATGAAATTGGATGAGCTTTATCCTAGGTCTCTCCCACTTGGGAACCTTGCGGTTTTTCCTCTCGCCCACCAGTAGTCATATTTTCACTTAAGATTGATTCTTCCCATTTCCTGGACACCTCTATTATAAAAAAAAGTCATTCAGCAGCCACATAGCTATAAAATTAAATAGCTTTGGCCCTGTTTAAACCTGAATGACCATCTACTCAAGTCATTTAAACTAGCAACTGATCTAAGAAATACTCAAATACTCTTGTTAGTGAACCGAATTATTTGGAGGGAGAGGGGAAGGAAGTACAATCATGATACAGCCTAACTCATGATCGTACTGAAAGTGAGTATTGTAATACTGGGGGAGTGAGGAGTCTTCCCCGCTGATAGTGAAACCTTGTGGCAGGATTAAGATCCCTTGTTCATAGGATTGCTGTGAGTCGTAGACTATGGCACCTAAAAGCACATTAAAATACCCAAGGAAAAGTAAAGGATGATTTGAAGAAAATTTGAGAACAACGGTCATGAATCACTCCTATACAATTGCAGAGCCTCTCACATATTCTAACTGCCCTCAAATGTTAACATTCCCTGCTCAAAACTTGACTGTTGCTTAAAAACAAAATTTCACTGTTCACAAGTGAGCTGGGACTCTTGCCTGATTCCTTAACCATACCACTGTCCATTACTCTGACTCCATTGTGGAGTCAGGTAACCAGCTTTGTAGGAAGGGCCTTGTTGTAAAGAGGACCTTTAAAGCTCTTGAGTTTAAAACATGAATAGTTACAAGTAGTCTCAATTCCATTACCTATAAAATTATGGTCTTTGCAAGTACTCACAAAGCTGGACAAGGATGATAGAATTAATGCCTTTGAGCTGTGATGCTGGAGAAGAGTGTTGAATATACCATACACTGCTAGAACAAACAGGTTCATCCACCTGGAAAGGGTGAAACTGAGCTGCTTCTCGGAGGAAAGGATTCTGAAGCTTTGACATATTTAATGTTTCAAGGGGCTTGCAAGGGTGGAGAGACAAGAGAGGAAGACCCTCAATGAGTTGGATTGATTCAGTAACTGGGGTAATTGGTGTCGGAGACAATAAGGTTGGTACAGGATAGAGTATAGGGCTATTGTACATAGGGTGACTGAGTCATAAGTGACTTGATGACACATAACAATTGTGAGGATTAAATAATAAGTGTAATTCATTTGAGCGTAGTGCCTGACAGGGATCTTTAGTGGTAAGGAGTTGTGCTGTCAATCCAAAGGCACAGGGTTCAGATCCACAACTGGAAAAATCCATGAGAGAAAGATGAGCAGTCTTCTCCCATGTGATTTACAGCCTCTGAAAACCCACTGTCAGAAGTTCCAACTTGACAACATGTAAGCAATTTCCGTGCCCAGCAGAAGTAGAAATGCCAGCTGCTGTAGTTATTTTTTATATACACAGCTTTGTTGAGAGATAATAAATCACATACTAAACAGTTCATCCATGCAAGTAAGTTAGCTTACATATTCATATAACCACTATCAAACTATCAATTTTAGAACATTGTTATGATGTCAAAAACCATTTCTAGACCTGTTTACCTTCACTCTCTTGTTTGCCACACATCTCTTCTTCAGCCCTAAGAAGTCACTTAACACAGTAATGTTTGTAGTCCTTAATGAGCTCCTGTGGCATAGACCCGTACGGAGTTGTGCCGCTAAAGGTGACACCTCTGGCAGTTTGAATCCACCGGCAGCTCCAGGGAGCAAGATGGACAATCTCCAGTGTGTCTTAAAGCCTCGGGGGGAGCAGTGGGGGATGAGCTAGGCATCTTAATACTGTAATGACGTTTAACTGCTGTGTCCATGGGTGTTGATCATATGGCCAATGCCGTACTTTATTGTTTGAGGAGCTGCCACACTTTCCCAACGTTTCTGCGCCATTTTAAGTTGCCACAGCTTATAAAGTTCCCAATATATCCATTTTATTGCGGACTAACTGACGTTTGGCAAATCTGCCTTTGATTCTAGCCATTCTGTTGTTATGTGCAATCAAGTCACTTGCAATTCATAGCGACTCTATACAGCAGCTCTGAAGCCTGCCCTGTCGTGAGCCAGTCTCTCTGACTCTGTCACACCTATCCCCATTGCTCTGGTTACTGTGTCAAATCCAGGCTCTTCCTCTCCACCCTTCCAAGCATGATGTCAATCTCCAAATACCAGTTCCTCCTAGCCATGTGCCCAAAGTATGTAAGGCAGGGCTTCAAAATCCTAGCCTTCAAGGAGACACTTGTTTTTACCTCTGAGACAGACTGTTTTGTTGTTAGGTGCTGTCAAGTCGGGTACAACTCATAGCGACCCTATGAACAAGAGATATGAACCCTGTTCTATAATTTGCCATCTTTCCTCTAGTCATCATATGATTTTCAAAGACCTGTTATTTAAGAAATGGTTGCCAATCCTGCTTCCTAGTCTGTCTTGCTCTGGGAGCTCTACCAAACCCTGTCCACCATGGGTAACCATTATGACATTTGACACACCAGTGGCACAGCTTTCAGTATCACAGCAACCACAAGTTATCTCAGTACAGCAAACTGACAGATAAGTGCTCTATCACTTAGAACCATGTTTTTCCAAAACACAATTTACACCAGGTCCTGATTGATTTAAGTAAGAGACTTCCAGCCCACAGCTTATTGTTAACTAAATCCAAATGGCCAATCATCTTACACTCAATTGTTTACACCTGATTTTCAATTAAAATAACCTACCTTCTAGAATCCAACTGCTTCACACAGGAGCCTACAAACTGGAAACTTAGGGTCCAACCAACTTTTAAATAGGTCCAGACTAGTAGGTGTGAAATGGTACTCGATTTGCTGATGACTTGTCAAAAAATTGAAAATCTATTTTGTCTTACTTGCATATCTTCCTGTGCAGGGCCTTTGTCCACTTAAAACTTTTCTTTTTATTACTGAATTGTAAGAGGTTTTTGTGTATATTGGATAAATTTTATATCAGATAATGTAATTTGAAACTCCCCCTTTTTCTGTAGATTGTCTCTTAAGTTTTCTTGTTAATTTCCTTTGAAGAATTGATGTTTTAAGGATTTGATGGCATC